AGACGTGCGTTGCAGCAGGCACGCTCACTTGGGGACAGATCAAAATCGACGTCTGCTTCTTCCCAAACGCTGCCCTTTTCCTTGCCCCGTGCTCAGGGCACGGCAAGACTGAGGTGGTGACATCTCCAGCAGCCTGGCAGCAACTGCAGAACTCTGCCGGATGGGACTGAGCTCCTCTGCTCAGCGAGAAGCTCAGCCTGCCAAGCACGCTGTGGATTGCTCAGCACAGGGAGGTTATGGAAGGAAAATAAGTGCAATTTTGCAGTTTGATGAGGTTCCCAGGGCAATTTTGCAGCTCGGGGTTCCAGGAGCCCCAAGAGAAAGATGAAACAGCAAGACGGCTTTAAAATATTTGCTGTGCATGAGGAGATGATATCCCTGCAGCAGCTGAAAGCATTGAGGGGAGGCAAAGAGCAGGGCAGCATGCCTCCAAGTTACAGCACACCCTCCAGACTTTTAAAACATCTGCAAACCCACGCTGCTACAGTGTGGACAAACCCCTCTCTGGTCCCTTGAAAATGTGGCAGGGAGAGATGATCAGGGAAAGGGACACCTTTTGAGGTGTCACCAGCCCTGAGGCAGCGGCCGTGGGGTGGAGGATCACGCGTGCCCCTTGCACGCTTGGCGTGTTGCTGCAGGTTGCTGATGTAGTTTGTTTTTCCTTTCCAGCGGAGAGACATGCCGGCTGCCCGTGCGTCACAGCTTCCATGGATGATATCTATTTTGAGCACACCATTAGGTAAATACTCCGCTCTCCAGCCAGGCATGCGCGGCGGAGGAGCGTGAGGTGTTTTCTTTTTTTCTTATCTGCCGGTTGCAACGTGGATGGTGGGGGCTGGAGCTGGAACAGGGAGCAATGTGTTTGGGAGAGGAAGTGAGGTGGTGGCAGTGCCAGGCTCTGGGGGCACCCAGGGATTGAGGCACCAGCTCTGCCGCAGGGCTGTGGACTGACTGTCTGCTCTGATTTATTCGCTGTCGGGAGCTCCTGCTGGGTTGACTTCCCGGTATTTCTCCCAACCCCAGCTCCTCCCTCGCTTTGTTCAAGAAAAAACTCCAACTTAATGCTCTGGAAAACTCACATCTCGCAAATTGTGCTTCTGTAGCACCAGTGTGGGTGGCTGGGCTCCAGCCAAAATCCCTTCCCGAGCTTGCCCTGGCAACCCTTGCCTGCTGCTCCCCCCAGAGGTGCCCAGCCCAATGTGCGCAGCCTCTGGTCTGCCACATTCCCGGGCACAACATAAGCATTCCCACCAGCCATAGGTCTTCTCCAGGGTGATCTTTTCCCTTATCACTTCTGGTAACCCAGGTGCTGCCACTTGCCTTGCTCACCTCTCAGAGCTCCCCTGCCTCCCCGTGCTGAGGATAGAGGCTTGAGAGGGCACCCAGGGCTGGTTTCACGGTCCTGGGCTGTCGTCTGATTTGTTTGCTGCTGGGAAGTCCGACTTGCTCCTTGCGTGTCACCGTTACCCCCCAGAAACATTAAACTCCCACTTTCTCCGTCTCTCAACATCATCCAGATGCTGTGGCGCTGGTGGGTTGGAAAGCTGCTGGCAGGGGCTGGGGCGACCATTGGGGTGGAACGCACAGTGCCGGAGCCGTGCCCGGCACCCCACAGCTCAGCTCCCAGCAGAGATTTGCCCAGGAAGGTTTTCCCCGTGAGTTTTGGGAGTGGGAGGATGGACCCGAGCCCTGCTCCAGAGAGTTAAATCAAATCCTGCAAGATATTCACCACTCCTCATTGCAGTCAGCCAGGCAGGGCCCAAGGGTCAGGGAATTTGTGCAGCTTCTGCCTTGGATCCCCCTTGGTGTGGTCCAGCTTAATGCTTCAAGCAAGGGGCCTGGCAGGGATTTCCCGCAGAGCTGTTTGAAGGCAGAGGAGCTTTGGGCAGCGTTTGCCGTCAGCTCAGAGGAGCTCATTGGAGCTCATGGGCTGGGCATCAGATGCTCCCCTTCCCTCAGCCCTTCTGCATGGAAGTGCAGCCTCCCCAGAGGGCTGCATGTACTCTTGAGACAAGGTTTGTGTGGCTTTTATGGCATCAGCTTGTGCCATTTCATAGAATCATAGAATCACAGAATGTTCGGGGTTGGAAGGACCTCTAGAGATCATCTAGTCCAATCCCTCTGCCAGAGCAGGATCCCCTAGGGCAGCCACACAGGAACGCATCCAGGTGGGTTCTGAAAGTCTCCAGGGAAGGAGCCTCCACAACCTCCCTGGGCAGCCTATTCCAGTGCTCTGTCACCCTCACAGTGAAGAAGTTTTTTCTGATGTTTTTTCC